TAATTTAATTTACCATCATATTTATTTTTCCAGCTTAGTTCCAATAAATTATATATTTTAGCACATAATTTACATTTTATTATATTTAAATATATATTTTTTGTTTTTCCTTTTACTTGTACATGCATTTGTGTCTCTTAAATGACCATATTTAAATATTTTTAAAAATCCCACACGTCTTTTTATTTCCATGTGTTGCTTTTACATTTCTCTGTCTCCTGTTTTTTACTTTACCACATGCATTTTTGTCTCATTGTGCAAATAAGGTGGGCGGTCCTTCTTGGGTCAGCTCCTCTCTTATTGGTCAACAGACAGGATCCCTTTGCAGATCGACTGCACATGCTTATGCTGTCTCAGTTTAGTTTAAAATTAAAATTTTCATTTAAAGCAGAGGCACAGCTAAGTGTTTTCCTCCTTGCCTTTGTTTTAAACYAAACTTTAAACTTTAAGCTAAACTGAGCACAAGCATGCACAGTCGATCTCCAACTCCTTCCTGTCTGTTGACCAATAGGAGAGGAGATGACCTTTTCACCTGTGGAAATCAGACTGAAATCATTCAGTTCAAACATTTTCTAACCATGAAAACATGTCTAAAACGTGGTGTGAAAGTATATTTATATGAACATTATAACATACATATACACAGAAAAGTTAAAGTCTGTCCAAAGGCCTGGAAATTGGCCTCTGTCTCTTTAAGAACCTCCTACCATTTCTGATACTCCCACTTCACAACATTTTTACAACAATGCTTTGAGGGAGGGGTGCTCTGTGGGGTGGGAGCTTGGCTGGGGACTGAGCTGTAGGGAGGAGCTTTGTGTAAATAGGTGGTGCTTTGTACCAGCAAGTGTTTATGCAGCTTCAAATGGCCACAGGAGATTCAGGGATTTCTCAAACACATGAATGAGTGAAAGCAACACTCTGGGTATGTTTTGATGAATAAAAATGGGTACATTGGTTTTGGAAGTCAAGTATTAAAATGTGTTGTGGCTTAATAAGTCTGAATCATCCATAATTAATGATGTTTTCAAGGTTAACAAGCAATTTATTAAAGGGGCTACATCATGTAAAATCAACTTTTATGAGTTTTATATCATGTTATGATGTTATTCTCTCATCAAAAACATGTCTTACTTTGACTCATTCATGCATGTTTGAGAAATCCTGTGCTGTCCTGAGGCAGCCAGGCAGGGGAGCAAAACGACCGGTTGGGACTAGAACCGCCTTTTGGGACTAGCTCCGCCTCTGGGCTGTGTTTCTGAATCGAGCTTCCTCATCACAGAGCACACCTCCACACCCCGCCCGTGACTCCTGCAGGTTCTCCGCAGCAACAAAGCAAACAACTGGTGAAACTGAAACTGTCTACTGAGCTCCCGATRCTACTTCTGAGTGCAGCCCTTTTCAAATTCAAAATACCTTTGTATTTTCAGATGCAAGTAAACTACACTGAGCTTCCATATCACCCCCCCACACGTGTTGAAATGGGTGGGACAGAAGCGGAAGGAGGTTCTTAAAGAGACAGAGGTGTTTAGGAACGGAAATGATGAAGAGCTTATTTTCTATTTAAATAAAAAAACGGCATTTTAATAACAAGGTGMCATTGATACTTTTTATGGTATAGAACTTAAATATATGCCTGAGAAACACATAATATTGCCCCTTTAAGGATTAAGTAAGGCTAAATAAGCTGCAGTTATTATACCAATATTCTGACTATTTAAAAAAAAAATCTAAGATCTGTACATGTGGTTTATGGCTTTGTTTCAGGGCTAAGTTCATCCTGAAAACTRTAGAAGCCAAGCATTTTAGCTCAACTTTTAGTTGGCGCATGTGTCAGCTGCATTACTCAGCTACAACAAAACAAAATCCTAATAAAATCCCCCATCGTGTGAAGACTTCATTAGGCCATGTCCCTGTCTGAGGAGACATACAACTCTGCCGTGCGTCCACCTGCTCCCACCCCAGGAGCAGCACAGACTGAGGAACAATTTGGCAGAGATTTACCTGAAAAAGTAACCCTGTTGTCACATAAAAGTATTTTATTACCTATAGCAGAAATAAATCACTTGTTCCTGTTTTCCCATCAAGGAAATAGGTTAATTCTTCATAGAGACTTAATTTTGTTTTATTGTTGTAAAAGCCAAAATGTTAGGGTATGATTAAAATTAAAACAATAAATTAAAAGGTAGATACAGTCGATATCTTTATTTCAATCTTTCCTGGCACTCTTAATCAAGATATAAACATCAATTAGGATTCCTAATTACAAAATTTGATTTAAATTGAAACAATAAGACCCAATTACATGACTGAATGATCAYTTTATTACTCTCGTCTAAGAGCTGATGAGGTGAGGGTTTATTTATTTATTTAGAATTACTTTTCATTAAAAAATATTCTGATAATTAGAACTAATCTGTCAAAAATAACCCATCGTGCTTCGTTTTCTGTTTTAAAAGAGATCCCTAAGTTTTTCGCATCATATGTATTTATTTTATTTTATTTTATTTTATTTTATTTATTTTTTTGTGGATGCAATATCTAAACCTAAATCTGAAGCAAGACCTCTCCTGATGGCTGCTTGTAAATAAAAACAGCTTCCCAAAGATGATTCAACATCAAACAGGGGAAAAGTGAGATTTTTCAACCAGCAGATGGTAAGGCTTATTTTACTAAATATAAATTTAGATGAAAAGGTTTCTCTAAAAATAATTTGCCAACTGTTTTATGTTTTTTCCCCAGTAGATTTAGATTTGTCAAAGCCCCTTCATCATCTGTTATGTTTTACAAATGATCACCAATCAGCAGCTGAGGTCCAAAAATGGTATGCAATGAAAAAAAAAAAGATCCTCTGCTTTTATGCAGAACAAACAACATATATTGAGAGTTGAAATCAAGGACATTATGAGGTTTAAGAATCTGGTTGTTGTGCAGAAAACAGATGCAAAGGTCTTCAATGCAAAGTCACTGAAGACTGGACAAAAATATTAATAATCCATAAAGTGAATTATTAATGTACCCTCAAAGAAAACAGGACATGGTGCTAAATACCGCGTGTGCTTGTTTACCTACACAAACAGCATAAGTGACTGAAAATTGGTCAAACGTTAAACTTATCTGCAGAAGTGTAAAAAGTACTTGAATAAAATAAAATTACCTTAACAGAAAATTACTTTGTTGAGAATTAGTTTCAATGATACGAAAATCACTCTAAGAAATAAGGTGTTGAATTTACTTCACCAAGTTATATCAACTGGTTTTACTAAACTGAGTTGAGTAAATTGAGCGATTTACACATTTTTCGTCTTTAAAGGAAAATATGTAAATTGCTCAATTTACTCAACTTGCTTTAGTGAAACCAGTTACTGCAAGTTGGTTAAATAAATTCAACACTTCCTTTTTAGAGCGTAGAGACGACTACTTTCATGTTGAGCCTTGGTCATATTTAAATATAGCTCTGAAGTGTAACATTTTAAAAT